CCTAAGGTCACAAGACTATCCAATATCAATCATATCAGTGTCCATTTACTATTTCAGTCACAATCAACAATAAGACACATATGCACATATGGTGGTGCCGCAGGACCCTTCACGTGCCGATACACGAAGGTCAGTGCATATAGCTCTGACATGGCACCGCAGCACAAGGGGATTTATAGCAACCAATCAATGAACCACAGCTCATTTATATCATAACGTTTGATCGCAACCAAACGGTGGACGGCAGCCCTATTATCATGTATATCTGATCGCAACCAGATTATGGACCGCAGCCCTATATATATATATATATATATATATATATATATATATATATATATATATATATATATATATATATATATACTTGAGTTCAAATGAGGACAAGTATATTATGGAGGACTGTGAGGACAAATGTATTGTGTGCCATTAGCATGTATATCGTGTGCATGACCGAATGAAGTCGTGTGCCAAAGTTTGTATGTCGCGCGCATAGATTTGTTAATTAATAGAGCCTGGGTTCGAAACTTGATATTTACATGTATTCCAGTGTGCCATTATGTATTAAATTGTGTGCCTGATATTGATTTGTTGTGTGCCCATTATTTGTCCTCACAGTCCTCTATATATTGTTGTCCTCATTTGAACTCAACCCTATATATATATATATATATATATATATATATATATATATATATATATATATATATATATATATATATATATATATATATATATATAACAGCCGATGGTTCTCAACCTATCCAACTGCCTGTATAGCCGACCGATCGCAACCGGTCGGGTTAATACCTAATGGTTCTCAACCCATTAGATAGTCATTATAGCCAATTGATCGCAACCAATTGGGGTATCATGCACAATTAACATAGAAGCCAAACAACATGCAACCCACATTAACACATAACGAGGGGGGATCATCGGGGAACACTTATCCTTATATAACTCTTACGTAACACACCACATTAAACCACTCATGACACTCCTAAGGGATCATACACCTTTGTTGGTCCCAAAAGAGGTAAGGTGAAAGTCTAGAGGGGGGGGGGGTGTGAATAGACTTTCAAGCTTTTTCGCATAACACAACAATTGCTAAGGCAACAGAGAAACCAAGAATCTTAACTAGATTTTTAGAGTCTGGTGCACAGCGGAAATAATAAACGATACGGTGTGTGTGTATATTGTGTCAAGATTATTCTCGTGAGAAGCAAGCAAGAGCAGTAAGTAAAGAAAGTGGTAAAGAACACAAGGCAATTTATAGTGGTTCGGAGGTGGTGTAATCCTCCTACTCCACTTGCTCTTATCGTCCAAGAGCAATTCACTATATCCACCGCTTCTTGGTTCCAAGATACAATGAATTCCGTGATCTAGTGCTTTGATCACTAAGCCCACACTAATCACGCCCAGTGCCACCAACATTGCTGCTTCGGGTTTCACGTCGCCGCGTTACTTTCCCAGGATTTCACGACTCCGCGTTACTTTCCCCCCGTCTTCTACGCTCCGGTAGAAACGCTCCTTCCGTTATCTAGTGCTTTGATCACAAAGCCCGCACTAATCACGCCCAATGTCTTCCGACACTGCTGCTTCGGATCTCACAACTCCGTGTGACAACCCAGGATTTCACAACTCCGTGTTACTTTCCTCCTTTCCCTTGTTTTGCTCCAAAACAAGTTTTGCCTTGCTTCCAACTTTGAGACTCTGTAGTTGATCTTCAATGGTGCGCTTAGTCTCTTGTGGTTGATGAAGATTCTAACACTCTTGGATATTTCTTTTGTAAGCTCTGTAACACTCTGAGTGTTTATCTCACAAAGAATATATCAATTTAAGCTCTTGAGATGGAAAGCTCTTTTGAATTTCATATGCTCTGTTTAGCTTTGCTCTTCGAATTATTTCTTCTACTTTGTTCACACCTGCTTTCCACTGCTTCAATCTTCATCCTTTTATAGCTGGTAATGAGAATATGTCCGTTGGAAAGAAACGTTCTCATTTTTTAATTTCTTCTAGATGTATAGCCTTTTCAGAGGATAAGATAACGTTGCAGATATGTCAGAGATTCTCTGCAAGTTGAGCTTGAGGTTTTAGCAAAAATGGCGTCCCAAAAATCTTCATCTGCTGTAGATCACGCCTCTTGGGATTTTTATCTTCAAAAATATAACCTCCAATTTAATCCCTTACTAGTCTGGGACTAGTATTTTTGCTTCTGCAACTTTTTTCTCTGTACTTCACGTCTGGGTCTGTTTACTGCTGGAAAATCTCTTCCCATGTAAACTGCATCCCTTACTTGATATATATTTTGCAAATCCCATCCCATCAAATTGAAACTTCTACCCCAAGGGTGAGATACATCCCTACCCATTGACTTTGCAAATTACTCCCTTTCGGCAAAACCATCGCCCATACTTCATGTGATGGATTTAAACTTAGCTTCCTATATGTGAGATGCGGGATTCAAACCTGTGACCTTGCATATAATATTTCAAGCTTCTGCCAACTCGTCCGTACAACCTTTTAGTCATCATCTTGTTTCACTTGGTGTACTCCTTTCTTTCTATAGATGCTTGATCTTCAAGATAGCTTCATGCAAACTTCAAGTCACGTTCTTTCTTCTTCGTGATTTCTTGAGGGATTTCTTGAATATCTCTGAGAGATTTCTTCTTAGGATGATAGTCTTCATAACTTGCGTACATTTCATACGCATACATCTTCCTCTTCAATTTGTCATTTTCACTAGGCAAATTCTTGATTTTAGGCTTTATATCTTCTTCATCCATTTTCCTCAACTAATTAATTTATTTTTCCCTTTCTTGGTCTATGACTCGACTAGTCTAACCAAAATAAAATTGGGGTTCTACGATTTACAATATGGCATATCAAAATCTATTACAATTCATTCCTAACAATTTCCCCCCTTTTGATAATGCCATAACTTATACTCAAACATTGGCTTTAAGTCTTTGAAAAATAATTTCAATTTTTGCTCAATTTTATTTTGACAAAGCCAAGATGAGTTTGACAAAATTAACTCTAGGGAAATGAAATACTTGTGAATTAATTCAGACAAGTCCTATACGCATCCCTGATTAATTTTAATCAATTTTTATCCTTTGAATCTTCAATTTTGCATGCGTTTAACAAATCTTGTCTCTTAATTCACGAACTAATACAAGATAGTCAAAATAAATCAAAAACAGACTTAGATAAGACCAAGGGAAATATTTATTCATATTAGTCGATAGAGGAAATTTTATTATAGCCAAAATCATATAGATATTCAAAACACCATATTTTTGAGGAGTTCATATCTGATTACCTTCTGGGTTTCTTGACTGCCATGTCAGCTTTCAATATGTCCTTGATGTGTTGTCTCATCTTGCAGATATCATTTTTGAGCTTTTCACATTCAAATCTCTTGGTCACATTTCCAGCCATGTAGTGTCCAAAGGCATCTTTAATGTTGGTGCCCGGAAGAACTCCGACTTCCCACCAAACTATGCATTCTTCAAAGCTTCTTTGGAATCCCAAACTTTCACCATTATTGTTGGTATGATCTCTAAGCTCGTACCACATCTCGGTTCGTTTCCTTTTCGCTTCTTCTTCATTATTCTTGTCAGATATCCATTGAGCTTGATCAGCTTTGGGCAATTTTTTCACCATACTCGACACATTCTCGGTTGTCCAAATTTTTTGCGGTGTTACGGTTCCTTTTAAGCATTCGAACCAGCCTCGAGTTTCAGCAACTTTCAATGAGCTTGATCCAAGACTCTGATTTGCAAATTGAGCGAAACCAACTTGGGATTGTTGCCCATGTCCTCGGCCACGGCCTTTTGTTGGTGCGGCGGTCAAAACTGGCTGTTGTGGTTGACTTCCAACGATGAATTTCTGTTTTTTTAAAGCCAGATGATTGAGAATTTATTCCCCCTTATGGCATTATCAATCAAAAATCCAAGGGATTTGGAATCTTGTTCTTGATTGGCTTTAACAAGTTTGACACCATCATGTGTTTTGAGAGAAACATCCTACAAACCAGATATTTTATTAGCCATAGAGGATAATTCCATCTCAAGGTGATTTATCCTTGTCTCTTGATCTTGTATGGCCTTTATATGTCTCAAGTGTCTTTCATTGTTGATCTTCTCGGTAGCTTCTCGTTCCTTCTTCATGAGTTTGATTATCTCCAATAATCCTTCCGTGAGATCTCCTTTTAGATGTCTTTCGGTCTGTTTATTTTTGTTTGCAGAGCGTTTTGATGTCCCAATAGCTCCTTCAAATTGGTTCGTGTGTCCTCAAAATGTTGCAAAGAGAGATGTCCTTGCTCGGTTAGAGTAGTTCCAATTTTTTGACACACAACAACACTTGACTCTGTAACTTTTGCAAACAGTGATGTTAAAAGATCTTCTTCATCTTCTTCACGGCTTTAGCTTGTACTCATGTTGAGGGAGTGCAAAGATTTGAACAGATTCCTTCATGAGTCAGGTAGAACTGGGTTTTCAACAAGTTGCAAATTTCCTTCAAGTGAATCGGCTTCTTGAAGTTGATTTCCAGTGTCTTCTTCTGCAATGATCGCTATTCTTGAAATAAGCTCTGTATTTAAATTGACTTCCAGAGAGTTATTTTGATGTGACATCACAGGGTTGATATCGTGTACTGGCGCTTCATATAAACATTCCCCCCCCAATTGATGGTCTAATTTCACCTTCAATTTGGTCCCTTACTTCATTCCTTGTAGGGTCCATCCATTAACTTTTGACCATATGACGTGATGAGTAAGTTTGTTAGGAATGAATTGTAAAAGATTTTGATATGCCATATTCTAAATCGTAGAACCCCAATTTTATTTTGGTTAGACTAGTTGAGTCATAGACCAAGAAAGGGAAAAATAAATTCATTAGTTAAGAAAAATGGATGAAGAAAATTTAAAGCCTAAAATCAAGAATTTGCCTAGTAAAAATGGCAAATTGAAGAGGAATATGTATGCGTATGAAATGTGCGCACACATCTTCCTCTTCAATTTGCCATTTTCACTAGGCAAATTCTTGATTTTAGGCTTTATATCTTCTTCATCCATTTTCCTCAACTAATGAATTTATTTTTCCCTTTCTTGGTCTATGACTCGACTAGTCTAACCAAAATAAAATTGGGGTTCTACGATTTTCAATATGGCATATCAAAATCTATTACAATTCATTCCTAACAACCTTCCTCCTAGGCCAACGGGATACCAATTCAACTAGCATGCAATACACAAGACTCTTTTATCCTAAGAACGGTACCCGATACATCAAACTAGACTCACACAGGATAAACGGGATACAACGGGACACGGGGAAACATCAAACGGGGAAAAACACCATGGTTTGCACCAATATTCCAGCGGGTGCCCGGCGGCATACAAACCAGCGGGTCCCCCGGCGGGCAGTCGCCTGCCCGCTGGCTGCCCACTGGGAAGAGGGCACGGGGAAGCGAGTAGGTGGCGGGCACCCCTGCCCCCACCTACCCCCACTGACTCCTATGTAATACTTTGGTCCCGGGATCCTTCGTGAAACGCGAAACCATGTCCAGACACATTCAAGTACAAACGACGACACCACGTATTCAAGTAACGGATTTAAACCAAGAACCACACCAAATACATCCTAACACGACTCCTAAACATGCCAAGACTCAACACCCGAACATGCAAAATCCCACCCAAACGTACCAAGAATAACATAATACGAAATCCACGTTATTACCCTAGGGCTCTAGACATAATCAGAATGCAAGATCATTCATATAACTTATCATAGTATCAAGAACATAAAGATTGTCCCATAAGCATCAAGATGAACATATAAACATCAAGATTATCATATAAACACCACATAAACCCTAAGCAAAGCTCTATCAAGACTCAAGCAAATAATCATATATCAAAGGAGCAAATGAATAAGATATAGCGAGGAAAAATAGGTTTTGTTGAGACATGAGTTACATCTTAGCCTTAATTAGAATCCTTGGCTACTAAGGTTCTTTCTCTAAGATCTCTTCCTCGTGGTTTTTCCTACGTTTGGTGACAGGGGAATTCCTGGGGAATCTTGTGTGGTGGAATCAATCATGGTGGGATTTCTAGCTGCCTCCTAAGTCCTTATATATATTTAGGAGTCCTAACTAAGTTCTGAATGGTAAGGATTTAATTATTCTATTCCTTATAGGACTAAGGGTTTGGTTTAAGGATAAGGGTCCATGATCCATGGTGGACCCTCCCTAATTAATTAAGGGGATCCTAACCCGATCAGGTCCCTTTTCTAATTATCATTTTTGGTAAACAATTAGACAATTAGTCCAGGTTAGAGGCCGTAACACGGGGTGTTACAGTCTAGGTTCTCAAACCTAGACGTGGCATAGTACCCCGACACTCATGTTGTTAGTTCCGCTTTGATTGGATGGATAATGATAGATTTGCCTTTATTTTATGGGATTTAAATGTTTTAAAAATTAAGGGTGTTACAAACACTTTGCAGTTTTAGCAAGAAACACAACTATTCCAACAAGAGACAAGATCTAGTATTCAAGAAACAAGGGCTAGTATTCAAAACTTAGTTAAACAAGGGCTAGAAACAAGATCTAGTTTGAGAGAGTAATTTGCTAGAACTCTGTGCTTCCAACCGACTTACCGTAGTTGCTAGTTGGCCCATTTGTCTTTCTAAGTTTTGAATTGCAAATTACCCTCTCAAAAGTTAGTTAAACAAGCTTTCTTTGCACTTTCTTTTTCAAATTACCCTCTCAAACTAGATCTTGTTAAACAAGGAAATAAGTGCAGGTAACATTGCCAATAATAAAGAGAAGTCCCAAGGTAAGCTTCTTTTTTTTTTTTTTTTCTGATTATGAACTAGTACTCCCATTTCCTCAAGCTCTTTTAGAACCAGTAAGAGGAAAATCAAATAATGATCTCTATGAGACATTTTGCGAATGTGATAGCAATAAACCATTTTTAGATTCTATGAAAGGAGTACCTCGCTATGCGAATTTTCTAAAAGAGTTATGCACTTTGAAAAAGAAACAAAATAAAGAAAGAGTTGAGGAAGTGAAAGTGCAAGAGAATGTCTCTATGGCTAGTCAAGGCAATCTTCCTGAGAAGTGCAAAGACCCAGGTATGTTTTTTCGTGCGTGATAAGTGGTGTGAAATTTGAAAATGCTATGTTAGATTTAGGAGCTTCTATTAATTTCATGTCATATGCTATTTATACCTCTTTAAATCTTGGACCCCCGAGTAAAACTAGTATAGTAATTCAATTGGCTGATGGATCTACTACATATCCTAGGGGTGTGATTGAGGATTTGCTTGTTGAAGTTAATAACTTGGTTTTCCTGCTGATTTTTATGTGCTTGATATGAAAAATAATAATAAAATTTCTCATATTTTATTACGCATGCCATTCTTAAAAACTGCAAAAACTAAAATTGATATTCATAGTGGTATGCTTACAATGGAGTTTAATAGTAAATTTGTGAATTTTAATATTTATGATACCATGAGATCTCCTAGTGAAGATAATTTTTCAATTTTTGTTGATTCTTTGAAGCTTGTTAAATTTGATGAAATTGCTTTTAATGAAAAAGAAAAAAATAATAAATCATTTTTGAGCACTAATCTGCATGAAGGGACTATTTCTTTGAATAATTGTAATCATCAAAGGTACTCGAAAAGACGATGGAAATTTAAAGAAAAATCATAAGTCGAGGCAACGACGATAAACAAAGGCTGTGACACCCCAAAAATCCACATTCAATCCATGGATTAATTGAGTAATTAATCCTATTTTATTTGTGGAATTAATTCCTAAAATCCTGATTTTTAATACTCAAGGACTAGTATTTGACTAGTCAACCTTAAAGTTGTGTTGTACCTTGAGCTTTGTTGGGAGTTCCCTTGTTCCTTACACTTTCTAAAGGTTAGTAAGGGTATCCTTGACTTTTCACCAAGAGTTAGTATTGTAACCTAACCTAGAAGACTTCTTCATTTCATTCCTTACAATTCCTAGAAATTAGCTCCACCTTCTCTCTAGAAAAGAAGTGTAGCTTATTCTCCAAGCCAAGTTGAGAACCTTGTCAAGATTCCAAGATTCAACCTTTCACCTATTTGGGCATCTAGGAGGGTAAGATCTAAGTTCATCTTGTGTTTTTGGTTCCATCTTAGTTGTCTTTTTCGTAAAGGTAGGATCTTTATGATCTTTTGGTTTAATCTTGAAGTGGGTTTGGAAAGTAAACCTTGTGGGGAGCTTGTTGTGGTGTAAAGTGAAGTCTTTTGTCTACAAGAGGTAACCCATGCTCTACAAAACCTATTTTGCTTACCTATATGTGATTTCTTGGATTCTACTTGTGCTTTGCTATGAAATGTGAGGGTTTGTGCATTTGTCTTGTGATATTGCATATCTAGAGCTTGTGTTTAGGGTTCCTTTGTGCCATTGCTTGGCATTTTCCATGATTCAAGTCATTTTGTTGTGTTGGGTGAGATTTGGCATGTTTTGGACTTGAATTTGTGTTTGGAGAAGAAAATCCCCGAAGGGATTTGTTGTGGAACAGGAATGTTACCGGGGCGGAACGGCGGGGGGGGCACCACCCGCCGACCTACCCGCGGGTACAATGCCCTGTGGGAATGTGTTCCCGCGGGCGGAACCACGGGTGGGGCACTACCCGTGGGTCCACCCGCGGGTACATGGTGGAGTTTGTTCGGGATTTGTTCCCCGTGATCCATTTGACTCGGTATTTGGTCTTTTGACTTCCCGTTGTTCTTTTGTGGAACTATTTGAGTGTCTCCTTGATGTTTCGTATGTCTAGAACTATATGGTAGGTATCCATGTAGGACTTTGGTGTCTTGAATCGTGCTAAGTGTTCAACATTGTGTTTCGTTGGACCAAGAGGTGTCTTGTGTGTTCCTCGGAACTATCTTGAGTTTCTCCGTTGTTAAGCATGCTAGTTTATTGTCTTAATGCTAGCGTGTGTGTTGTTTGTACCTTCCGTTTGGTTGATGATAACTTGTGTTATTCATCGTTGATGTTGTTGGGCTGTGACTCGTTCCTTGATTGAGTATGTTTCATACCTTCGTTGTGATCCGTTGTTTGACTCTTGTTGAGTTGTGGTGCGTGTGTGGCTTTACCTGGATTGCACGATTAGTGGTATGGGACACTAGTCACCAAGGTATTGCAGCGGTCCTCGTGGTGGCCGTGGCGTGATTATGGAGCTGTGGCCTGAGTGATGGGTTCACGTTTTTGGGGGATAACATGTGTTATCCGGGCATGTGTTGCCGTGAATTGGTGGCCTCATTGGTGGTCCTTGGTGGGGGACGACGGTCCCGGGGGAATAAGGTTGGACTAAGAAGTACAGGGGTCCTGGAGGTAATGGTTGGAAAGAAGAAACAAGGTTGGGGGTAGCCATAAGGTTGGAACAGGGCATAAGGAAGGCATATCAACTCGTGATGGGTGATGTTGCGAGGGCTTGTAAAGCCGGCGTTGTGTGTTCTTCTCTTGTGACGTGTGTAGTCACGGAGGCTTGTGTTGCTTTGACATGTGTTACCGTTGGGTGAGTCTTTATCCTTTGCGTGTGGTTAGCCTTTGTGGTTTGGGATGTGTTCCCGTGTTATCCTTGTGAGTGATGAGTCTTGTGTTGATTGTTGATCTTGGTTTTGACTTATATATATATATATATATATATATATATATATATATATATATATATATATATATATATATATATATATATATATATATATATATTCTGTTTCGAAAATGGTTTTACATCTTATATCTATCTATGTATGATACTTAACGGTATTGGTGTGTTACCAGCATTTATCGCTGACCGGGCGTCGTCCCAATGTTTATCTTTGTATCTTTCAGGTGATGTTTAGACGAGCGCGATGTCTAGAGCCCGGTAGCTTAGCACCTTTATCCTTGTTTTGTGGCCTGTGCGCCAATGTGGTTTTAGACCGATGTTTTTGGGATAGATGTATACACTTGCAGATTGTTTGCCGTAGCGTTTACCGTGTTTGGTAGACGTGGCGTGACACCCCGTTCGGATTTCTTTTATCCAGTTTTC